ATATATATATATATATATATATATATATATATATATATATATATACAAACAGACCTCTCCCCTTTATGGATCTACGGTGCTCTTCTCAGCGGTGAAGAATAATAAAGGAGAGCGAAGGAAGAGAGTTTACTGTGTGAAGTAAACCTTCAAAAGAGAGATAGTAATAATAATATAATATATAAACATAATTTAATGTAAAAAGAAGATAAAATGGAAAGAGAAGAAAAAAAAACAGGTGTAATAGCGATATCAGCAACAACAACAACAACAACAACAACACTCTCAAGCACAAAAGAAATAAAAGAGAAAGAAAAACAAACACAAAAATAAAATTGAATTATTTCTTTGCTGTGCAAATGGTGATAATAGTTCCCATACTGAGATGTAAGAATGATGGCGAAATTACAACGCAAAATAGAAACTTATCGAAGGAGATATATATAGAGAGAAATATATATATATATATATATATATATATATATATATAGAGAGAGAGAGAGAGAGAGAGATGTCACTTAAACGAAAATGAAAAAAAAAGACATGTATAATAAACACATCATAAACTTACTATTGCCTGTGCGGATTGTTAGGCCCCATTATAATGTCTTTCAACCGCAGCGAAATGCAGACATATCGAGGTCAGAGAAAGTCTTTTTTTTTTTTCTTAAATATATATATATATATATATATATATATATAAGAAGGAAAAATAAAAATTTTATTAAACGAAAAAGAAAAATAAACAGATAGAGAAAGAAAAAGACGAACAAGAACAAAAATAACAAGAAGAGTAAAAAAAGAAAAAAAAAGAAGAGAATATCTTCTTATAGGTCATGTCCTATTTTTTTCCCCTCACCCACCCCACCTTCAACCTCGTATTCATTTATTTCTTTCTCTTTCTATTTACTTATTTCTTTTATTTTTTTTATTTTCTTTTCTTTTTTTTTTAAAGTGTACTATTCCTTTAACAGGACTATTTCTCTTCTTTATCGACTGTCGCATCACCTTCTTCTTTCGTCATTGTTGTGGTTTCTGTTTCTGTTGGTTGTGAAGGTTCTGCTGTTGAAGCCCCTTTCTTGTTCTTCTTCTCTTTCTCTTCTTCATCGTTGCCTCCTGTGAACTGCATGTGTACAATCACGCGATCGGTAGAGAGATTACACTGAAAGGTGTAGTCTGTTCCCTCTGTAAAGATCACAGGTGTTGGCAGTGGGCCGTTAGAGGCATCGAGTAACTGCATTGCCTGTCCCCACTGCATATCTCGTGGGAAATTATTTCGTGTATCGTCTGGATCTGTGGACATGATGAGATCTTCATCATTGGCTTTCCAATAATACATCATTGCATGTGCAGTTCCGGAACTGGTGGCCTTTACTTTTATTTCTCTCGTGGTGGGTAAATCCCGTCGTCGGGTTTTGGCAAAATCAATAGAGAAGAGTTCAATGGGTTCACTTAATCGACGAAACGGCACACTGCTGAGACGAAATCCATATTGTTTCGCAAACACCACACTCACTGTATCTTGTAATGCCGTCATGTGTGAGAGATCGAGATCTTTCCATCCAGACACCGCACAGACATCCCGCAGGGTTTCACATTCAATCGGCACTGCATATTGAGTGCCAAACTGCGGGATAATTTTCGTTGTTGGCTTCAACAGCCGCTCCCGCACATCCGCAATGTAATCCAACGCCGACTCGCCCAACAACATGGTGCCAAATATCTCCGAGACCATAATATCCGGCTTCTCGGGTAAATGCCGCAGGGTGAGTTCGGTGCTCAACATGTGAAGAACAGTGACTTTGTGGGCCATGCCGTTTGCCCGCACATTTGCCCGCGCCAGTCGCGCCATCTCCGCACTTCCCTCCACCGCCACGACCCACTTCGCCCCGCAGCGGGCGGCGAGGAGCGACAAGAGTCCAGAGCCGGCGCCGATCTCCAACACCCCCGTCTCTGGGGTCACATGGCGGCGGAGAAGATCCTCGTAAAAGGCATTGCGGGGCCCATCGTTCATCATCGCAAAGTGGAAGTCATTCACCGCCTCTACCAGCGAGGTGGGCGCGTGGCGAAGACGGGCAGGAACGGGAATGTGTTGATCCACACGGTGGACAAAGGCATCCGCACGGCGTGTCTGTTCATAGGGATAATAATTGTTATTATTATTATTATTATGGTTATTATTATTATTATTATTGTGATAGTTGTTACTATGATTCTTGTGTGCAGGGGCGGAGGCACCTGGTGGGATGAATCCAATTAATTGTTGTGCCGCCCGACCATCCGGTTCAGCGGAAACACGTTTGTTGTGGTGATTGTGATGGTTCTTTTTGTGATCCCCACCGTTGTTTTGACTATTGGATCCCTTTCCCTTCTTTTTCCCTTGTTGTTGTTGTGGTGGTGGTTGGGCGTCTGTCTTGGGTGGCATTAGAGGAAACAGTGTTGATTTTAAAAATGAACTTGTCCCTTTAATGATACTTTCGGTTACTTTTTTAATTTTTCTTTTTTTTTCTCTGCGTTTTTCTTTTTTCTAAATGTAAATTAGTATTTTTTTTTTTTTTATTCTTTTCTTACTGTAGATATTAAGATTCTTCTTTTTCCTTTTTTCTTGGGGTTCTTTCACAGTTTTGTATATATATACAAAATATGTCTAATGTGTGGGTATGTGTGTTTGTTTCTGTCTCTTTACGTTCTTCACTCTTATAGTGTAGCTTAGAGAAGGAGAACCCACGAAAGAAGAAGAAAAAAAAGAAGAAGAACAGAGAATAACTTTCAGTTCTATTTACATAAGAGAAGTTAATCCAAAAAAGAAAGGAATGAATAATTACATCCATTAAAAATAATAATAATAATAATAATAATAATAATAATAATAATAATAATAATAATAATAATAATAATAATAATAATAATAAAGCACAGAACATATGATTATTATTATCATTATTATCATAAGTATGTGCAAAATAACAAGAAAGAAGAAGAAAAAAAAATGTGAAACGTAAATGTTTTCTTCATCTTTCCGTAGAATTACCTCTACCTTTTTTCATTTTCTTTTCTTCTTCTGTAGATTGGCCCCATACACAAACACCCATGTTTTGTTTTTTGTCGTCAACGTGTTATCAGCAAAAACAAACAAAGAAAAAAGAAGAGGAATACATCAAAGCATATAATTTTTAAATCAAATCAAAGAACCAAATTAAAAAAAAAAAAAAACACATATTCAAGAAATTTAAATCCCACACAAACACATATGCAGAAATAACTATATATATATATATATATATATATATATATATATATATATATGCAAATTCTATGAAAACAGAGAAGAGCTTAACCTCTTTATACTCCTAAACACCCAGCAAAACTCCCTACACTGTTATTGAAGATAGAAGTGATAGAAAGATAAACAAAACAAAAAAAAAAAAACACCCCATTTTTTTTAAAAAAAAAGATAAATATAACAATCATAAATAAGAAGAAATGGGGGGTGGGGGATTAAAAAAAAAAAAAAGAAATGCAGATAAACATTAGGAAATGCAAAATAATAATTTTTTTTAAAAGGAAATAGAGAGAAAAAAAAGGGTGGAGGGGAAGCATCATTTTTAAAGGAGATACCTCCTTTTCTCTTTTTTTTTCGTTATTTTTGAGGGGATCCTCTTTATATTTGTTTCTCTTCCTTTCCCTTCTCTTCTCCTTTATTTGCATTTATGTAATGCGATAAGAATACGATTTGACTTATCTCTCCTTCTTCTTTATTATATTTATGTATCGTTCTATTCATGCTTATATATATATATATATATATATATATATATATATATATATATATATATATTGATAGATATATTTATATATGATAAATAGCTAATTCTCTTCGTTCCTTGATGGGTTGAAGTTGTTGTTATTATTATTTAGACTGCCATTTTCATAGCGATTGCTGGGTATGGGGTGTAGTCGATCACCTCCATATCATCTTCCTCGTAATCCTCCAGAAACTCCCGTTCACGGCGAAAGACAAGAAACGGAAAAGCACGCGGTACTCGTTTTAATTGTTCCTCACATGGTTCCACATGATTCTTATACACATGTGCATCCCCAAGTGTGTGAACGAGTTCCCCTGGTTTCAGTCCTGTTGCCTTCGCAATCAGAATTGTTAATAACGCATAAGAGGCAATATTAAATGGAACTCCCAGTCCCATATCACAGGAGCGTTGATACAACATACAGGATAACTCCCCATTACTTACATAGAATTGAGCTAACATATGACAAGGTGGTAAAGCCATTCGTGATAAAGCCGCGGGATTCCATGCAGTGACAATCATTCTTCTATCATCTGGATTTGTTTTTATGGTCTCCACCACTTGTTTAATTTGATCCACCCCTTTTCCATCATAATTGGTTTTATAATCTTTATACTCCGCACCAAAGTGTCGCCATTGAAATCCATAGACAGGACCAAGATCCATTTCTTCATATTCGTGTAATCCACGACTGTCCAAGAAGGCACGAGAGCCATTTCCATCCCAAATGTGAACTCCTTTATCACTAAGCAACTTTGCATACGTTTCCCCACGGAGAAACCAGAGAAGTTCCGCACAAACACCACGCCAAAAGACACGTTTGGTGGTCAAAAGAGGAAGACGATTATTATGTAAACTAAATCGCATTTGTGCTCCAAAGAGAGAAAGTGTACCGACACCTGTGCGATCTTCCTTTACATTTCCACAGCGGATAATACGTGAAACCAATTGTAGATATTGTTCCTCTTCATGATTACGTGGGATAAGTTTTTCAAAGCAATACACTGTTCCCGATTCATTCTTTGATGTTTGTTCTTCTGTGATACTCTCACGTATCCATTCCACACCCGCCGCCTCCACAGTTCCCGCAGCGGGAATATGAAAATGTACACTGCAGTTCTCTGCACGTAAGTGAATAATGGTACGGTAAATAGCCTGCAGCACATGTACACACGGCGGCCGCATACAATCCGCATAAACACGACCACCACCCACACAAAAGACTGTTTCAATACTAGACACATACGGTGGAGATGCTAATAAACGTAAAGCCTCTTCTAAACCACCATTCACGGCGATAATATCATTCACGGCGGCCTGTCGTAATTCCCCTTCGGGTATTTCCTCCAACAACTGCTGCGTCGTGACAGTACTGGAAAGAACAACATTTAATCGATCTTTCAATGGACGGAATTTAAGTGGAATGCTATCCCACGTTTTGCGTCCCATCACAACCGCATTTCGCTTCTCCAGTGAAGGCACAACATTCTTTCCGCGTAGTTTTGTGGTGATATCTTTAAAGAACTTCATATCCTCCGGTACATGCCAAGGGATGGTCTTTCCATCACCAATGCCGTTATTCTCATCTACAGCCACAACAAGAGAAAAGGCACGTAGCATAAGGCGTGAGCTCTCCGCCACTGTTGCTGCCATGGGAATTTTGAAAGACATTTATATCCTTTTTTTTTTTCTTTTTTTTTTTTCTTATTTACTTCTTAATGTTGATGTTGAGTATTTGTTTTTTTTTTTTTATTAATTTCACACTCCTATCGCCCTTTTCTTCTTTTCGTGTAAAGTAATTCTTTTTTTTCTTTTTTGTTTATGTGTACCCTTTGTGATCTGAGCACAAAATGCGTATTCACAATACCCAAGAAGAAAAAACAACAACAAACAACAAAAAAAAAGAAGAGAAATAATTGTAAACAGTCTACACAAGTGAAAGTGACAGGGAACGTAAACAACCAAACACGAAGAAAAATCAAAAGATAAATTATATATATATAGATAGATAGATAGATAGACTAACAGATAGATTGATTGATAGGTATTCCGTAGGTAAATGAAGTAATAAAGACGAAATACGAAAGAAAAAAAAAGGAATTCCCACAACGAAGTATCTTTTCTTTATTACCTCTTTCTTTAAAAAAAAAAAAAAAATTCTGTTTATGTGACCTTCGGTTCTTCTTTTTTATTTATTTATATTAAGTAAATAATAAAGGCACCATTTCACTCAACAAAATATTGTAAATCCTCTTTTTTTTTCTCTTTTTTTTTGTCTCTATGTTGCCCTTTCTTCGCAAAAATAGGCGTCCACACAGACACTTAAACACCAACAGATATATATTACGTTTAATTATTAACAAAAATGTGAAATCATAAAGTCAAAAAAAAAAAAAAAAATGATCAAAAGATAAATGCGGGTGCTTGTCGTTTAGGTGAACGCGAAATGCAAAAAAGAGAGAAAAGAAAAGAAAAAAAAGAACTCCACAACACACAAATCACAGACATCTTCAAAGGCAGTCTTTCCTTTTCTACCACACACACACACACTCCTACCATCTATATAAGCAATAAAAAAATAGTAGAAGTAGTAGTAGTGGTAGCGGCAAACAGGAATACAACCAATGAAAAGAGAAAAAACAAAAAGGAAAAAAGACCAACCGCCATCAACAATAAAATAAAAAAAAAAAGAATCACATACATAATAAAAATAGACGTACGACTCACACCATTCAAATAATGATGGTGATGATGACAATATTGAATAATAACTCCCCCTTCTCTCCTCCCACCACATACATCTGCAGAGAAACAGAAGAAAAACAATGAAAAAAAGAAAAGAGACAAGAAAAAAACAAAAAAAAAAAAACACTCAGACACTCAGACACTCACTTACAGTATATATATATATATATATATATATATATATATATATATTATTTAATATCCATCCGCATCTGCGTCTGAGAGGGACGACAGTGCACATTCCATCCTTGACCACTGTTGTCGTCTGTCCATCAACAGCGCCAACGGCAGCCGCAGCGACATGGCAATCGCAATGAGATGCGCGTCTGGCCGCAGGAGCATTCCAGAGGAGAGTTTGCGGGCCATCCAACAACACAACTCCTCAAAGGAGATCACTCCCGTGCGGGTTTTATTAAGAGCGCGGAAGATACGAGGGGCGTGGCGAACAATCTCTGGTCTATCCCGCACAAACACATCATGGGCATATTTTGTAAAATTATGAAAATTTAATGGCCCATATGTGGAAAGAATACAGTCAAACACACAAGTCACAAAGGCTACACTCTCACGGGCACAAGGAAGAAATGGAAAAACAGTTGCCGGAACACCAAATACCTCCTCCAGTAGATTCGATCCAGCTGCTGTGAGGACTGCATTATAGAAAGTAATACGATGTTTGAGAATAAACTCTCGCAAGTAGATCAATTCTTCTAATACGTCTCGCATTGATACTGTACTATTCCCTTCACCATCATTTTTTTCTTCTTCTTCGTTTTCTCGTTGTTGTTGTTGTTGTTGTTGTTGTTCTTTCGTTTCTTTTTCTTTTTCCCCATCTGCTAGACTTGGCTCTGCATCATTATTATAATAATATCCATTGCCTTCTGCTGATATCTTTCCCACTCGCATTGTGTGAATACCACCACCAACACCACTACTTGCCGTTATCTCTTCACTCTGTCCATCCACACCATCTCTTCCACATTCATATTCTTGTTTATATTCTTCTTCTGCTGGTGTTTGTGGTTCATTCTTATCATTCTCATCATCATTATTATTATTACCACCACGTCGCTGTTCCACACAAGCCCGCAGTGTGGGATTAACAGGTGTGTATATGAGTGCAAACCGTGCGTGCAGTGCCTCCACAAACTCCAGCAGTGATCCCCGGTGATGCACAAGGACCGCCTGCGCCACCACCTCATCCACCACTCGTGTTTGGCAAATCAGTGGATCGCCCTTCGCAGCCGCAACATCAATCACATACAACTCCGCCGCCGCACGGCGAGAGCGACGACTCATATGCCAAACTTTAAATGGATATTTTCGTAAATTATCCGCGGCAGAAACTTGTGGAGATGTAAGTGGGGTGCGTAGAACAACTTGAAAGAAGGCCTCATGAATGGCATTGTAAATAAATTGATCCTCTCCAATAAAGAAACCCGTACTTGTTTCCCCTGTACCACACCGTAAGACATTTGTGGTATCACTAAAATCCACAAATAATGAAGTGGAGAACATGGTGGCATTTACATCAATAAGATCTCCTAAAAGTGAGGCAATAGAACAGGTATCTTCCTTTAGAGGTAAAGAAGTAGAGCTTGTCAGACTAGCGTCCATGCAATTCCCTTCATCCTGTATTTCCAATGATGTTGATGTCATTCCTGCATTCGTAGTAGTAGCAGCAGCAGCAGCACTACTACTACTAGTAGTCGTTGTTGTTGTGGTACTACTAGTCATAGTGGTCATCATCGTCGTTGTCGTCGTAGTGGGAGCTGCGGCTCTTCTCGTTGTGGTAGTGGTTCGTATTGTTGTTACCATCATTGTAGATGCAACTGTATGTTGTTGTTGTTGTTGTTGTTGTTTTCGTTGTTGATATTTATATCGTTCAATATAAGGAAGATAATATAATAGTTCCTCTGCATATGTAGGGAAGAGTCGTCTATTATCTGCAAGAGCCGCCAAAAGACGTGGAATCACTGGCGGTAAATCACGGTATACACGTAAATCCGGAATTGGAATTCGACACAACACTAATGATTCTTGTCTATTATATAAAGATGAAAGGGCTGCTGCGGTAGTCGCTACACTTTCATCAAATAAAGATTCCATCTCTTTCATACACATCTTCTGCAAAGCGGATCTCTCCTTTTTGTTGTTGTTATTGTTATTGTTCTCTTCTTTTTCTTCTTCTTCTTCTTTATTATCATTATCTCCTTTCTGTATACGTGCCTCAATCACCAATACTCCATGAAGATGTGCGGCTTCCTCCACTTCTAATGTAAATCGGCATTGAAGTTGTTGTTGTTCCTTTTCCTGTTGAAGTGCGGTGAGTTGGGAGTGGTACAGCACCGCATCCTGTCGGTTTGCGGTTCGGAGGACAATCGTCGCATTGCGGCGAACCACCCAACCAAACAAACGGAAAAGAAATCCAACCGACGGCAGTGAAGGTTCACTGTAGGAGTAGACATGTCTTAATGAGATCTCTCCATTACTCTTCCCACCACTACCATTATTACCATTATTATTACTATTACTACCACTACCACTACTGCGGCGATGGCGTCGTTGTTGTGTGTATTTGTGGACTGCAATACAACCAGCCAAGGCGGCGGCGGCCACACTGATAACACTAGTGATGTTTCGTGTTAACATCATTGCAAACATTTTAGATGGGGGTGGGAGTGGAAAACCAGAAATAGTAGTAATAGTAATAGTAAGTAATAGTATCTTTTCTTATCACAGGGTAGTTTATATATATATAGAAAAGAAGAGATTGTAGTCTCACAATAAAGAGATAGAGACAACAAGAAAGTGGGAGTTAGAGTGATACTTTAGTGAATCCCACTTTCTTTTTTTCTCTCACTCACTCACTCTCTATGTATATATTTATGTATATATTCAATGTATCTCCAACACCTCAGATACTACACAAAGAGCAACACGCATGCAGCTATAATGTAGTGAGGGTGCAAGATTTCTCCCCCCAGCACCTGTGCACAATAAGCAACAATAATAATAACAATAATAACAACAACAGTAATAATAGAATTAATAAAGGTGGAGCCTACTCTTGATGTGGCTTCTGGGAAAGAAAAAAAAAAAAGAAATAGGGAAAGTGAATAAAAAGAGATACATAGATAGATAGATCATTTATATATATATATATATATATATATATATAAAGAGAGAGAGAGAGAGAAAGAGATGCCAATGGTAAGAAGTATACAAACATTTACTAATTTAGTCTCATTCAGAGACACAGAAGTAGAATAAAGACGAACGAAAAAAAGAAAAAGAATAGGTGAGAGTAACCACCTTTTTCTTCATACTCATCATCATCTTCAACATCTCACTTTTATTCTTCTTTTTTTTCCTTTTTGTTTAAACGCGCAATCATTAAATTGGGTTTCCGTTTCTTTACCCATTGTAAAGAAAAAAACGGAGTTGAAAAAAGTGATATACACACACATACACATAGACAGAGAGAGAGAGAAAAAAAAAGAACACACACACACACATCTACCTAAATAGATAAAGATATATATATATATATATATATATATATATATACCCCAAATACTCTACTTCTATTTATGCCTTATTGGTGCCTATGGTATGTTCAATTAAGTTCTGCACCAACTCTGCTGTTTTGCCTTTAGTCCGTACAATCTCCTTGAAGAGTAATGTATCCCCATAAGGATCTGCAGTAACATTATTATTATTATTATTATTATTATTATTATTATTATTATTATTATTATTAGCATTAGTAGTAGTAGTAGTAGTAGTAGTAGTAGTAGTAGTTTCATCTGAAGGAGATGCGGCATCTCCATTCTTTTCTCCTCGTATGCGTTTTCGACTATTCCCCTCATCAGTTGTGTTATTATTCCCATTCTCCCTTTTCTTCTGCTTTCTCTTCTTTCCATCACTCTCTTCTTCTTTTTCTTCTTTTTGTTCTTTTTCTTTTTCTTGTTTGTGTTCCTGTTCTTTACTATCCAGTAGTGTAATCTCATGTAATTTCTTAATATACTCCGAGACCCGTTCCATTTTGAGTTTCACCTGTGGGTCTATCTTCTCATGCCCGACTTTATTCCACAGTCGATCGTGGGCGTATGTGAGCAGCACGAGGGCGTAGGCGGCGGCGATGGAGATGCGGGCCTGTTCGTCCACGCCGTACTTTGAGACGACAACATCTTCATCTAATGCGGAGAGTAACGGGAGTAATTCGGTCTGCATGCGGTGATGGGCGGCATCCATGCCTTCCATGAGAGGAACAATATCCGCATCAAACTCCATTGATATAGATCACTATATATATATATATATATATATATGTAAAGGTGTTTCTCTGTGGGAAGAACAGAGAGAGAAAATAACTGCAATAGAGAGAAAAGAGAAGAGAAGAGTAATAAAGTATACAGTAATATACATATATACATATATATATATCTATATATAGTATATACATATATATACATATAATAATATATAATATATAATAAAGTGGATTATCACACATAAAATGATAATAATATGTGTGCCAAGAGAGAAGTGTAAAGGTAATACAACACCCGTAAAGGAATAAGATAAGATAAAGAAAGAAAAAGGAAAGAAACGTGAAGAAGAAATGAAGTAAATTCATAGAATGAGAAAAAAACAAAAATATAAAAAAAAAGAAAACACACACACACACAATAGAAAAAAAAAAAATGATGAACCATACATGAGAGAACTATCATTTTATTATTACCGCCTCTTCCATTCAATTTCAATTCACATTTATCCAAACTGAAACTCTCCCATTATATATTTCTGTAATCAACGCAAGCACATTCTTTATCGTTGTTAGAAGTATACATTTTACTGCGAACGCATATATATATATATATATA